AGAGTGAGAAGAAAGTGGGAAATCATCCCCCAAGGGGCATGGCCACACCACCATCCCTTTTTCATTCCCCTCCTGGGATCTTGGGCACAGCACACACATGTGCCTGACATAATTTTCAAGCTGCTGAGTCTGGGACTCAAACCATGGTCAGCTGTGTGGGGGCCCAGCACCTTAACCACCATGCCACCTGTTGGACGCTTGCCTTGCCTTTTCAACAGGGAGCGATTATAGAAGGCTGTTGATACTTAAAAATCCTTCCGGAGAGAAAGGGCCAGAGACTCTGGCCACTCAGCTCCCTGTTCTCCAGAAACACTTGTGTGCCTGGGATGGCGTCTTCTGGAAATCCCAACTCTAAGTGGTCCTATTCATATCTTCAGAACGCCTTCCGTGCAAAGTTTACGGTGACTTAAATGGTTGTAAATGTTAGCATCCATTTGTTTATATTTTTTCCACCGACAGTATTTGTTGCGGATCTATAGTAGGTCAGCCCCTTGTGCATTTAGTATTCTGTCGGACACATGGGACCTGCCTGCCTTCAAGGAGCGAGATCGTAAATTCCTGACGATCAGAGATCATTTACTTTTCTGACACTCAGCACCTGGCGCGAAATAGGTTGCTTGAGCCGTTGTGCTCACATTCCTCTTGTCACTGCCATGTTGCTTTAGAAAGTGTGCCCTGGGAGGAGCAGAAACTTCGACAGCTGCTCTGCAGAGTCAGGAATGAGGACCGAGGGCCGCAGGCTAGCATGGTGACATGTGCTGTCTGCGGTCAGGCCTTCCAGCTCCAACCAGTTTGCAGAGAGACCATAATCTCACCAACAGTCCCTCTCATACCTCTGTATCATAAAAATGAACCTGTAGGGGCCAGCAGGTGGCGTGGTGAAAGCGCTGGACTCCGACATGGGTGACCGCCACTCTAATCCCAGACCTAGTGGCTTTTCTCATTCCCCACCACCCCCTGACCCCATTGTGCCCTATAGCAAACTAAAAGGTAATAATAACAATAAATACATATTTTTTTTAAAAAAAACAAACCCGTAAGGCACTTGAATATCTAGTCCTTTTGTATTGCTTTAAATGAAGAAGCATTGATTTTTAAAAAAATGTTTAGAAGTTCTTGCTGTAGGGTGTGTGTGTTCCCCAGAAAGACAGAGACAGAAAGTGAGAAATCACCCCCCCCGCGGGGGGATGGCCATGCTTCAATCCCTTCTCTTCCATCCTCCTCTCAGGATCTTGGGCACGCACACGCACCCAGCGTGAGTTTAAGCCACCGAGTCCAGGACTTGAACCGTGGTCGACTACATGGCAGTCCAGCGACATAGCCATTATGCCAGCTGCTGGTCCCAAGAAGCATTGATTTTAATGAACACTTGAAACAATTACTTTTTAAGGGCAAAGGAACACATTCTTGCCTCAGTTTTTGCCGCAGTGTATTTTCAGAGATGAGTTGACATGTCTGAAGCATGTTAGGAATAGCGGGTTTTGTCAGAATTCACTTTTCACAAGTGTACCGCATATGCTGGTTTAAATTTCACAAGTGTATCGAATATGCCAGGCTTGATTTTACTAAGCCATTCCATTGGTCACCAACGCCCCGCCGTTGCCCATTATAGGCTTTTAGCTCAGTCGGATTGCACACTCTGATTTTAAACCTCATACTGAGGTTTACTGCAAAATGAGCAAAAGACTCATTAAATTATTTATGTGATTTGTGCCTTCTGAAAAAATAGTCTAAAGTGTAGGGATCCTTTGAACCACACTGGCCCATGAACCAAGAGTTCTTTTTTTATTTTTATTTTTTTCAAACTATGAATTGACAAATGAATATTATACATTGAGGGAGGCTTCAAAAAGTTCATGGAAATGTGTGTTATGAAAAAAACTATTTATGAGATTCATATTCTTTTGCACCAAAATAAACTTGTATTTTAATTTTATTTTCCTGTGGGTTGTAGTGTGATATTTCAATACATGTATACACAGGGTAATTAATCTGTGTATACTAATACACACGTGTAATAGTAATTAATACACCTCAGACATTTACCATTTCTCTGTCTTGGGACTTTCAAAACTCCCCGTTTTTTAAAAATTTTGTTATTATTTTAGTTTTGCTATAACATGTCTTTGTAGGAGAAAGAGAGGAAAGTGAGAAATTACTCCTCTGGGTATCCCGTCCGGTCTGGATTCTCCTCTTGGAGTTTTGGGCACACGCATACTTACACCTGGCTTGTTTTTCAAGCTGCTGGGTCAGGAACTAAACTGTGCAATTGGCCATGCAGGATCTAGCCACCTCAACCACCAGGCCACTTGCTGGTCCCCAAACCCCCACTTTTTAGCTATTTGAAATCTACATTGTTACAATTCACCAACTCAACTGTTAAGGGTCGGAACTGCCATACTCCCTAAAAAAGGAAAAAAAAAGCAGTTTGCAATACATGACTCACCACAGTCACTGACTTTCCTTGTGTTCTTGGCCTTCCCTGCTCAGCCCCCGCCAGAGCCCTAACTCAGATTAGGTGAGGCTCCAAAGTCAAAAGGAAGGACTTGCTGGTAGGAGGAAGCTTCCAAGAGCCTTAATTAAAGCAAGGAGTAAGTCTTTCATGGAGAGAACAAGACCTTGGGAGCACTTCACTGAAGAAAGCTGCTTGGTGTGCAGCTCTCTGGACCACGGCTGTGATGTGAATGTGAAGAGTCCTCCACTCTGCAGACTTGAGCAGCTTAGGAGGGGGTGTGGTGCCTGTTCTTCAGAGAACTGAATGGGTGGATGGGGCGATGGGTACACTGGCTGGGTAAGGATCCTGACCCCCAGAGAAGCTGGTAAATGTTAATGGTTGGGTGGCTTGAAGAGCAGAGCTTTGATGGGGGTAGGTGCAGACCCTCAGGCCACAGACTTCAGCTGTAATTTGGGGACACTTCTGCCAGCAGCAGCCACCACTTCCAGGGGGTTGCTCTGTACCAGCCAGAAAGGAGCAGAGTTAGTATAGAAACTATTTGGAGCAGGAGGAGAAAGTCCTGGTAGGAGTTGGTGCCTGGTGCTTATATGCATTGAAGGTTTCCTAAAAGGGTCAAAGCTAAGACACAGAAGAGGGGCACCAGTCACCGCTCGCCAGATCCAGCTGGTACCCACTGCCAGGCATCTTGCCCCCCTTGGCCTGATTTCTAACTGCAGTGACACGTCAGCATCACTGTTGTGTGCACAGGGGTGGGGGGCAGTGAAACAGAAGACCTCATCTGCAGCGTTCTGATTCCGTCACTCAAGCAACGGGCTTGTGTAAAGAAGAGGAAAGTGCCTTAGAATTTATTGCCATTCCAGAGGTTGAGGGGATATCTCTAGGGAAGCTGTCAGTCCCTTGGAGCTGAATTTTAGAAATCTGTCTCCAGAAAACTAAAAAATGGGCAAAAAGGTTACAGGGAGGTTCACGCTAAGTGGTGATCTCCATTTGTCAAAAGTTACAGAATTCTTTAATAGTACACACATAGTTGTTTTTAATCTGTCATTGTTATAAAGGATTCATTTGGAGATTTTATGGTAGATGATTTTATGGTAGATGATTCTCATTTACTTTTTTTTTTTTTTTTTGAATGAATGATCTATGTCCTTGCTAAAGCTCAGCTGAAAAAGAGAAAGATAAATAGAGAGAGAGAGATCTTCTCTTTGGGGTTCCAGTAACACATTCCCGAGAACAAGTGACAGGCCACTGAGTGGGCACCAAGCATTTTTCTGCCATAGCAGAAGCACTGGGTTCCATCTGAATCTGTATTACCATTGTGGTCAGGTTTTGTACTGCTTCATAACCACCCTCCTGCACTTTTCAGAAATTTTCTATCATTTATTAGCAGAAACCTTAGGTGCTGACCTCCCTGTGGGTTGGAAGTTGGGGATGGCCCCTCAACCTTGCTTTTTCTGTCAGTGAATTCTGACCCTCCAGCCATCATGGCCGGTGGGCTTCCTTGGTTAAATAAAGGGCTGCATGAGAAGGATTCAGACCAAATGCTTTGTTCTCTGGCTTTAATATTTTAATGAGCCTGCAGGCTTGGCTGCTTGCGAAAGAGCTGGGATTTCTAAGTGTGTTGTTAGTGTTAGCACTTGTAGAAGGATGTTCATTAGGAAGCTCTTGTTTCAGTTGCTCTGAGAAATTCCCCATTAAGAAAGATCTTTCAGCAGTATGGCCAGCAAGGAAGAGGAAAGGGAGGAGGCTGCTTTCAGCTTGAAAACATTAGGGGGATATTGTATCAGTGGACTTAGTTCTAAAGATTTGCTTCTAAGAATTAATTGGAGCAAATGCATCTCAAGGGAAGGGGAAAAACAAGATTTGTAGAGCAAAGACAGTAGTTGTTGTCCTTGCGAGGAGAGGACTCTTCATTTTGCAGCTGAATCAATACTGAGACTAATTATTTCTGGTTATCTTTTATGGGTTTGTAAGACATTTCTTTTGTTCTGTGTAATAAAAAAACCCATTGTTTGATCAGTGACTGACTAATTATGATAAGTAATTTGAAACATTCTTGATGAAACTTGTCTGTTAATTAACATCTCAGCAAATGGAAACTAACAAGACAACCAAGTGTTACTGCATACGCTGTTCCCTGGAATTGGTGAGGTCTCTCCGTGGCATGCCCAATAAACTAAAGCTGCCAGTGGTTAAAAAACAACAAACAGGTGGGAAGGTCTGACTCACCGTGGAGGAAAAGTGATTGTCAAGTTACACAAAGGAGTACTGAAATGCTGCAGGGAGGGGTTGTAAATGTCAGCAGGTTGCCTGAGCCGTTGCTTAGCTTAGGGAGAGCCCTTCCTTTTTTCTTTCTTTTTTCTTTAAAGCTTAATTCATAAATACATTCATCCCATGTTGATTGGAATGGAGACTTTTGGTAAACGCAAGTGGGGAGTCTGGAAAACGGTAGTTTGGGATTATTAGCATTGACTGGCTGTTTCGTAACTATCACTAAGTAATACTGTTCATTTTTATCAACTCAATGGCTTTTCTTTTATGCTTTTAGATTCCTACCTGGACAAGGACTGGTACTATACCCACAGATAGGAGACAAATTGGATATTATTTGCCCCAAAGTGGACTCTAAAACTGTTGGCCAATATGAATATTATAAAGTTTATATGGTTGATAAAGATCAAGCAGACAGATGCTCTATTAAAAAGGAAAACACCCCTCTCCTCAACTGTGCCAGACCAGACCAAGATGTAAAATTCACTATCAAGTTCCAAGAATTCAGCCCTAACCTCTGGGGTTTAGAATTCCAGAAGAACAAAGACTATTACATTATCTGTAAGTATAATTCTATTTGTTTATTTTTATATAAATTAAGATAAGCTAAATAGGTTTGTATTGATTTTGTTGCCTTAAAATTATTGTGGCAAATAATTTGATGAGAATCATTGCTGAACAATTGTCCCCTTTGTTTTGTTTTTTGTTTTTTGTTTTTTCCAAAGAAACTTTAATTGAATTTCGGACCTTGAACTAACAGTATTCATTAAGTATAAATACCCAAAGAGAAAAAAAACCTCCTAGAATTCTTATAGTATTGAAATAAATGGATTTTATGAGTGTATCAGCGTCTCTACTGACAAAGCCATTTTTAAGGACCATTGGTGAGATTTTGATAGGTAACTCTTGTGTGGTGCCTTTTCTCTTCATCCATTCATCCATCCATTCGCTCACTCATTTGGTTTTTATTACATTCCAGACACCATGCTGAAGTACTAGGGGTTCCACAGAGGACAAGGTGGAATTTGGTACATGCTCCTCACGGAGTTACCAGTCCAGAGAAGTAACTCGCAGGTTGGAAGGGTGGACTTTATAGGCAAATCACAATCATTTATACATGGTCATGATGAAACCAGATTCAGATAAGTAAGACAAAACTTGGGTTTCTCAATGATTTCC